GTACTGTGACCACTGATATTGTGTACATTACTGTGACCACTGATAGTGTACATTACTGTGACCACTGATATTGTGTACATTACTGTGACCACTGATATTGTGTACATTACTGTGACCACTGATATTGTGTACATTACTGTGACCACTGATATTGTGTACATTACTGTGACCACTGATATTGTGTACAGTACTGTGACCACTGATAGTGTACAGTACTGTGACCACTGATATTGTGTACATTACTGTGACCATGATAGTGTACAGTACTGTGACCACTGATATTGTGTACATTACTGTGACCACTGATATTGTGTACATTACTGTGACCACTGATAGTGTACAGTACTGTGACCACTGATATTGTGTACATTACTGTGACCACTGATAGTGTACAGTACTATGACCACTGATATTGTGTACATTACTGTGACCACTGATAGTGTACAGTACTGTGACCACTGATATTGTGTACATTACTGTGACCACTGATAGTGTACAGTACTGTGACCATGATATTGTGTACATTACTGTGACCACTGATAGTGTTACAGTACTGTGACCACTGATATTGTGTACATTACTGTGACCACTGATAGTGTACAGTACTGTGACCACTGATATTGTGTACATTACTGTGACCACTGATAGTGTACAGTACTGTGACCACTGATATTGTGTATATTACTGTGACCACTGATTAGTGTACAGTACTGTGACCACTGATATTGTGTACATTACTGTGACCATGATAGTGTACATTACTGTGACCACTGATATTGTGTACATTACTGTGACCACTGATATTGTGTACATTACTGTGACCACTGATATTGTGTACATTACTGTGACCACTGATATTGTGTACATTACTGTGACCACTGATATTGTGTACATTACTGTGACACTGATATTGTGTACATTACTGTGACCACTGATAGTGTACAGTACTGTGACCACTGATATTGTGTACATTACTGTGACCACTGATATTGTGTACATTACTGTGACCACTGATATTGTGTACATTACTGTGACCACTGATTATTGTGTACATTACTGTGACCACTGATATTGTGTACATTACTGTGACCACTGATATTGTGTACATTACTGTGACCACTGATATTGTGTACATTACTGTGACCACTGATAGTGTACAGTACTGTGACCACTGATATTGTGTACATTACTGTGACCACTGATAGTGTACAGTACTGTGACCACTGATATTGTGTACATTACTGTGACCACTGATAGTGTACATTACTGTGACCACTGATATTGTGTACATTACTGTGACCACTGATATTGTGTACATTACTGTGACCACTGATATTGTGTACATTACTGTGACCACTGATATTGTGTACATTACTGTGACCACTGATAGTGTACAGTACTGTGACCACTGATATTGTGTACATTACTGTGACCACTGATATTGTGTACATTACTGTGACCACTGATATTGTGTACATTACTGTGACCACTGATATTGTGTACATTACTGTGACCACTGATATTGTGTACATTACTGTGACCACTGATTTGTGTACATTACTGTGACCACTGATATTGTGTACATTACTGTGACCACTGATATTGTGTACATTACTGTGGACCACTGATATTGTGTACATTACTGTGACCACTGATATTGTGTACATTACTGTGACCACTGATATTGTGTACATTACTGTGACCACTGATATTGTGTACATGAAACTCATCACTACAAACACAGGTCATTATAGTGATGCCACCATGCCTATGGTGATACCACCATTCCTTTGGTGATACCACCATTCCTTTGGTGATACCACCATTCCTATAGTGATACCATCATTCCTGTGGTGTTGCCATCATTCCTGTGGTGTTACCATAATTCCTGTGGTGATACCATAATTCCTGTGGTGATAGCATCATTCCTCTGGTGTTACTATCATTCCTCTGGTGATACCAACATTCGTGTGGTGATACCATCATTCCTGTGGTGATAGCATCATTCCTCTGGTGCTACCATCATTCCTCTGGTGATACCAACATTCATGTGGTGATACCATCATTCCTGTGGTGATACCACCATTCCTGTGGTGATACCATCATTCCTGTTGTGATACCACCATTCTTGTGGTGATAACATCATTCCTGTTGTGATACCACCATTCCTGTGGTGATATCATCATTCCTGTGGTGATACCATCATTCCTGTGGTGGTGCCACCATTCCTGTGGTGATACCACCATTCCTGTGGTGATACCATCATTCCTGTGGTGGTGCCACCATTCCTGAGGTGATACCACCATTCCTGTGTTGATACCATAATTTATGTGGTGATACCACTATTCCTGTGTTGATACCATCATTTCTGTGGTGATACCACCATTCTTGTAGTGATACCACCATTCATGTGGTGATACCAACATTCCTGTGGTGTTACCATCATTCCTGTGCTGATACCACCATTCCTGTGGTGATACCATCATTCCTGTGGTGATAG